AAAAAAAAAAAAGAAAGAAAGAAAGAAAAACTCCTGGGGAAAGAGAAGGGGAGAGATGGAGAATGGGAGAGGGGCAGACTAGGGGTGACAGAATTGGCTGTCACCAATTAGAATTAGGGTTTGGGAGGCAAAAGGTAAAGAGCTTCAAACAGTGGTGACCTCCCTCCCCCACCACGTGTCACACAGGTGCATTCCCCAACACACACACAGTCACCTACACAGGCATGCACTTAACCCAAAGGAGCACTGGACGCCAGGTGACATGAGTTCTAGCTAGCCCAAGCCATGCCATTCAGACTGTATGTGTCAGAGGGAGACAAGGGGAGTCACAGAGTCTTGGGTTCAAGACTGATTCTGTAAGTTATGAACTTAGGTCAGTCATTTCACTTAGTAAGCCTGATAAAGATAATAAGGCAACTTTAACCCCCCTTTTTTCTTGAGACAAAGTCTCACTTTGTTGCCCTGGGTGGAGTGCTATGGCATCATACCTCACAGCAACCTCTGACCCTTGGGCTCAAGAGATACTCTTGCCTCCACCTCCTGAGTAGCTGGGACTACAGGTACCCACCACAATGCCTGGCTATTTTTAGAGATGGGGGTCTCACTCTGGCTCAGGCTGGTCTGAAACTTGTGAGCTCAGGCAATCTGCCTACCTCAGTCTCCCAGAGTGCTGGGATTACAGGCGTGAGCCACTGCACCTGGCCTTTAGACCCTTTTATTTGTAACGCCCTGATTCTAACTCCTAACCCTGGGTAGCCCACAGACAAGGGAATGGATATAAGGAAATACCTACAGATGGAAATGAAGGCAGGAGAGGAGAAAAGGGGGCACAAGGTGGAGGGCAGATGATAGCAGTCATCCTGCAGTTCCTCCCACCCCAGCCAGGGGAGAGAGAGCTGGGAAAGAGGCCTCCAACAGAGGAGACTTGAGACACCACCATTTCCTCTAATCAGCCCAAGGGGAGGAAAGGGAAGTTAGCAGCCATCCCATTGCATTGTTCCTGGTCATGACCCTGTCCACCTCCTTGCTCCCTTCACCAGTTCTTTCTCCTCTTTCCTCTCTTTCCCCAAGAATCCCTTTCTCCTTTGGCTCCTCAGGACAGGCAGAAATAATTGAAAGAAATAAGAGCAAGGCCACAAGGGAAGAATCCCTACAATGAGAAAAGGTTACTTCTGGATTCCAGGTCTGATGCTAGAGGGAGAAATCTGGGATCAGAAAATTGGGGTTCCACTCAGACATCTCTCAGCCTTTCCTTGAACCTCAATTTCTCCCTTATCAAAGGTGGGAGGGTTCCCTCTATTCCCCTCACTGTGATGAAGTACAAACAAGAATGCAGGAGGCTTCAAGGTTCAGGAAAAACCTGCCCACACCTCTGCCTCCCCTACTAATCCTGGGCAGCTGATCTTATGGGGCCAGGGGCAGATGAGGGTCAAGCTGCAGCAGCTGGTGGTGACTGGGACTCAGCAAATGGAGTAGATAGCATTAATGGTGATGGTGAGGCTTGGCACAGTGACTTATGCCTGCAGTTCTAGTACTCTGGGAGACCAAGGTGGGAGGATTGCTTGAGCTCAGGAGTTAAAGACCAGCCTGAGCAAGAGTGAGACCCCCATCTCTACTAAAAATAGAAAAACTAGTCAGGCATGGTGGTGCACACCTATTTCCCAGCTATTTGGGAGGCTGAGACAGGAGGATCACTTGAGTCTGGGGTTGCAGTGAGCTGTGGCAATTCCATTGCACTCTACCCAGGGAACAGAGTGAGACCCTGTTTCAAAAAAAAAAAAAAGTGATAGTGACAAAAGTTAGGACACAAGGTTCAGACACTAGAGAAAGTGTGTCTCCCCAACACAAGAAATCATAGGATCCTTCCTCTCTCCCAAGGACTGTGAAGCATGGTCACTTCCATGGTGAAGCCAAGGGGCACGAGAGTCTCTCCCCTCCCTCAGCCTGGGACTTAACCAGAAGCCTGAGCCACTGTGACTCAGAGATGGGCATCCATTCCTTTCCCCTTCACCATGCCCCATTCAGCTCTCCAGACATTCATTTATGCAACAAACATTTATTGAATACCTGCCTACTTGCTCCAAGGAGGACACTAAGCCAGACCTGGAGCACACATAAATGAACAAGATTCAGGCCCTGATCACAAGGAGCTTACAGTCTAGTTGGGGAGGCAGACACAAATGTGCAAGTATAATCCAACATCAACACTCCCATAGATTTTGTATGTAACACACTATGGGAGCCCAGGGGAGAGGGGAGTGATCAATTCTAGGAAAAATGGGCAGAAGCCTTCACAAAAGTAATGGCGTCTGAGCAGGCAGGGTTCTGAGGGATGCATAGGAGTTCTCCAGGAGATGGTAAGGAACTCTTTCCAGGCTGAAGAAATAGCTTGAGTAGAGGTATGACACAGGGCAGAGGAATTAGGGTATGCCTCTGTGGGGGATGGGGTATGAGGCTAGAGGAATTCTGGGACCAACTGGGAATGGCCAATCCTTCACTACAGCCCCCCCAACCAAGGAGTGTGGGAAGGGGAATTGCCAAGAACTAACAAAGGGGGCTTTTGAGTGGGGTTCCCCACCCAAGTTCAAGAAGAGAAGCAGACATTTGTGTCACTAGAAAGCAGTGTCCAGGCCCCGCTGGGGCTGGCTGCAGTCACCGTTGTGCAGAAAATCTGGACATGCCTTTGTGTGCCCTTGTCTGTGTTGTGCTCAGGTCATCAGTCGTTTCCTAGGAAAGTTCTTTGTCAAAGCTCCAAGTCTGGCTTGGCTGATCTGAGCCAAAAAGAGACTTGTGGGCCTTGGGTGGGGAAATCAGAGTGTCCAGAGACAGGACAAGGGGTGCAGGCAGGAGCCAAAGAAATTCTGGGCAGCTCTACTGGCCACTGTTCTCTGGGCAACTTCCAGAGCTTCTCACCCATCCTGCTTCTCTCCCCCACACCAACGGCAGTCAGTGCCTCTGAGAGGAAATCCTAAACATCCTGGAGCAGCCAAGGCAGGTCCCCTTCTCCAGGGGAGCACCTGACATGAGGGGAGGAGCATTCTCCCCTTTCAGGGCTCCCCCAGAGGACAGGCAGAGGAGCCTGCTGGGGATATGCAGGGGCCCAGGGTGGCATAGGCAGGGGGAGGGGCTGCCAAGGCCAGGAGGGGAACAGGGCCTGGTTGGGATAAGGGTGGGGATGTGGGGTGGGGGCAGAAGCGGGAAGGAAGGTTGGAAGGTGGAGTGGAGGCCACCTCCCGAGCACCCCTGCCCCCTCGGCCTGGCGACCAGTATCGGCTTCGGAACCTCCGGAGTAGCATGAGGCACGTGATACCCAGGAGGTCAAAGATGAGCTCGGCCATTTCCACCACAGACAGCACGGAGGAGCCAAACCACAGGCTCCACTGGCTACCCAAGTTGGACAGGAGGGTGACCATCTGTGAGGAGGAGAGTCACATGACCACAGGGCAGAGAAACCTGGGTAGGCTCTGGCAGAGGAGCCCCATCCCTCCCGACCAAGCCATCTCCCTTCCTCCCCAAAGACCCCCAACCCCTCTCAGCCTCTCAGCAGCCCTGGGCTCCTCACTTCCACCCTCTCCCTTAGGAGCACACAGCTCCTGGCCAGTGTTGACCAGAGAGAAACGCCAACTGGGCCACAGCCAGAGATGTGTCTCAAGGGCCTCCCCCCAGCATTTGGCACACCCTTCCCTCCACCAGCCTAAAGACCTCACACCCCAGTCACGCTCCTGCTTCCAATCCACCAGCCTCCTGTCTCCTCTTCCTTGGTCTCCTACCTTCAATGTCCAAACGCCCTGGCCCCACAAGGGCACCCTTTACTTTTCCCTGACAGCCACCCTGCTAAGACCCCAGAGAATCTCAGGCTCCATGAGGCAGGATGTACCGTGACAGAGGGAGACTCGGAATTGGTTTTATAGTTCAGCTCCTTGAAGAAGATGTTGAGTTTGGCAACTCCATCTCTTTAGCATAAAGGAGAGTGGGGAGAAAGGGAGGAATGTTAACTTCTGGGACCTTTCTCCAATCAACTGCATCAATTCCTCTCCCCCAGGTTTGTTTTCCCTCCCAAGGATTCCTTTCCTGGGGCTGGGACCAGGACAGGACTGACCTCTTATTGTTGATGGTATAATTGTTCTGTCGGGATAGCATCTGGAAGACCCATTCCTGGGAAAGAATGGGAATGTCACCAAGGTCACCCCAATACTCTTCAGGCTTACAGGGATGGGGTCAGGTCAAACACACACACACACAATACAGAGTTACATGCCCATGCATGAGTCCCACCTCCTCATTTCCCCTTTTACCTGGGAGGTCACTGAGGGCCATCGTGAGTAACCAGCGGAGAGCTGGTAGCTGGTCACACTGGGGAGGAGAAAGATGCTCAGTGCTGGAGTGGAAATCCCAGTCGAAGGCTTAGCTGGGTACCTGCATTCTACCCAGACAAGCAGCCCGCTGCCCAGTTTGCACCTGTCGGAAGGGGCACTCACCTACATGGCTTCCGGCACTTGGTAAAACAGCCCAGGCGGTCTGAGGAGAAGTCAACCTGAAGCTTATAGTAGCAGTAACCTGTGGGCACAGAGAGGTTCTAGTTCTCCAAGGGCACCTCAGTTTTTCCACCCCACCAAAGAGGTCTGTCTCACAAGATCCCTGGGCTCCCACTTTCTAACAGCATCAGCATTACCATGATGTCTTGCTCATGGGTGTCAGCAGCAAAAATGAAAGTTTTTGAAATTAAGCTAAGCCAGGAAGTGGGGGAACAGAATACACCCATGTAGGATACAGCAAACACTTAAAGTCAGAAAGAAAAATGGGAACAACTATAGTGTAAGAATAAGGGGATTAAAACACAATGAGATACTTCATCCTCACTAGGATGGCTAGTATAAAAAAAAGACAACCAGAATGGCCAAGGATGTGGAGAAACCAGCAACTTCATATGCTACTTCTGGGGAAGTACATGGTACAATCACTTTGGACAACAGTCTGGCAGCTCCTCACAAAGGTTAAGCACAGAGTTACCACAGGACCTGGCAATTCTACTCCTAGGTGTACACCCAAGAGAACTGAAAACTTATAGCCACAAAAAAACTTACACACAAATGTTCACAGCAGCATAATCCACAACAAGCAAAAAGCACAACCTACCCAAATGTCCATCAATTGATAAGTGGGTAAGTTAAATGTATCCATACAACGGAATAGTATTCAGCCATAAAATCAAATGAAGTAGCAATAGGTGGGTCATTACGAAAGTTTTGAGATACACAAAAATCAAGAAATGTAAAATCCGGGTGGCACCTGTGGCTCAAAAGGGTAGGGTGCTGGCCCCATATGCCGGAGGTGGCGGGTTCAAACCCAGCCCCAGCCAAAAATAAAAAATTTAAAAAAAAAAAAAGAAAAAGAAAAAGAAATGTAAAATCCGTTTGCACCAAAACAAATGAAGCCCTCCCAGCTACACCGATACGCTGAGCAAGTTGAGACTTGTGTATGGGTGAGTCAGAAAGGATGCTGTGGACTATTTCTTGGAAGTGAAATAATGGACCATAACACAGTCTGTTTCCACACCTTCGTGGTGACCTATGTACTGCTACAGCCTAGATGAATCTTGAAACTCAGGTGTCCTCAAACTACGGCCCGCGGGCTACATGCAGCCCGCCTAGGACATTTATCCGGCCTGCTGGGTGTTTTTGCCGCCACTGCCTGATCTGCTTAGCAGCCTACTCATCCCAGGGGCCCGAGTCCAGCCCTCCAACGGTCTGAGGGGACAGTGAACTGGCCCCTTGTTTAAAAAGTTTGAAGACAAATTTTAAATTGTAAATATTATGGTAAGGGAAAAAAGCCAGTCACATATTGTCAGATTCCATCTATGTGAAATGTCCAGACTAAGCCAATCTACTAGGTATAAAGACAGAAAGTAGGTCAGTGGTTGCCAGGAGCTGGCAGTTGAAGGGGAGGGGAGGAGAGCTTAGAAACTGCTAATAGATACAAAGTTCCTTTTGGGAGCAATAAAATATTCTAAAATGTATTGTGGTGGTTGCACAACTCTGGGACTTTTTAAAACCTGAAACTAAACACTGAAATTTACTAAATACAAAATAAAATGATACACCTCAAATGGGTAAAATTTAGAGGATATAAATTATCTTAACAAAGCCATTACCAAAAACAATAATGGGATTATGGATTCCCTTCCTCCTCTCTTTCCCAAGTTCTAAGTGAGGTTATTTTGTCACTTTTGCCACTTTCAGTAATCAGTTCAAAGTCCTGTGTCATTTCAGATCCACATACCTCCATCTCGCAGAACTGGAGGTCTTCCCTCAGGCAGACTGGAAGGCCCTGCCCTGAGAAGTAAGCCCCTGGTCACTCAGCAGCCTGCTTTCCTCCCTCATCCTTACAACTTAGCAATCGATATTGTTACTTTTCCCTCACAGAGCTTCAAACTCACAAAAATTTAGAGATAATTATTTGGGGGCAGGGAGGAGTAGAGGAAAGTAGCCCCTGCCCCTGTGCCCAGATGTCCAATACACATCCTAGAAAGGAGAAGCCAGGAGGCCACGACTTGAAAGCACAGGGAGTACAGAAAGGTGCACAGCAGGTCCAGGAAAGGGAGGAGGAAAAAGATCAACACAGGCAGAACAAAGGCAGGGACACTGGAAGTGACATTCCACAGCCTCTGGGGCCCTCTGTGTCTGCAGTGCCTGCTGCTGGGTCACCTCCAGCAATGGAGAGGAAGAAATGCGGGTTGGGGGGAGGGACAGCCTATGCCAGACAAGACCATTCCAGAATGCACACCCTTGGAGCTTTTGTGCTTTCTTGTTGGGATTCTTTTTCCCTCAGCTTCCTAATACACAGCTTCCCTGCTGAATAGCTTAACTATAGTTGAAAGGAAAGAGATTTGTCTACTCTTACACCAGGATAAGGAAAACCCGGTGCTCTCCAATCGTTTCTGATTGTGTCCTCCCCCCAGGTAAAAAAATTCTTAAATTAGGGGTGGCTCCTGTGGCTCAAAGGAGCAGGGCCCCACCCCATATGCTGGAGGTGGCCGGTTCAAGCCCAGCCCAGGCCAAAAACTGGAAAAAAAAAAACCCTTAAATTAGCAAGTCCAACGTTTGTATTTGGTTTATAAATTACATGCCTCCTCTACTGAATGGACATAGTACATTCATTCTAAAATATACTTAAGAAAGAAAGTGTGAAGGAATGATATAGACACATACAACTTCTTTCCTTTTTTTTCTTTGAGACAGCAACCTCAAACTCCTGGGCTTAAGTGATCCTATTGTCTCAGCCTCCTAGTAGCTAGGGCCATAGGCACCCACCACAAGGCCTGGCTATTTTTAGAGACAGGGTCTCACTCTTGCTCAGCCTGGTCTCTCCAACTCCTGAGCTCAGGTGATCCACCTACCTCAGCCTCCCAGAGTGCTAGGATTACAGGTGTGAGCCACCGTGCCTGACCCATATACAACTTCTAATTATGTTCTTCCTGAGCTCCAGTGGGATGTTCTGCACCCACCCAGCCCCCCGGGAGCACCCCGGGGCCTGAGTAGGGAAGCTGTAGGCAGAGCTCAGAGCTAGAGATTTTCTCATGTGCTCTTCCTTCCTTATGCTGCAGGTTATTTTTAAATGGGGTGATTCCTTGACAAACACACAAAAGCCAAAAAAAAAAGAGAGAGAGAAACATTGAGAGGAAGATAGAGAGACAGAGAGGGAGAGGAAAAACGAGAGAGGCAGAAACAAGAGTGAGGAGGAGGACTGCTCTGGAACAGTGGAGCCAGAAACCATCCCCAGGCAGGGAGGAGCAAGCCCCTGGGGGAAGAGGAGAATCCTGGGTAGTGGGGCAGGGCAGGGGTTCCCCAGAATCGCACCCCAGGAATTATGCTTCCTGTAGTCGCAGTACTCCACATCTTGGGGCCGTGGATAGAAGATATAGGCGCAGCCACACTGCCTGATCATGCTCTCCTGGAAGCAGGAGTGGATACACACCTGGGGGGAGAGTGAAAAGAGGGCATTCAGGCCTAGAAGGGGCCTAGAAGGATAAGCAGTTCTTTCAGCTGAGATCCCATCCTCTTTCCACCTCCCCCAACTTCCCTCTGACTCACACACAAACACACACACCCTCCAGCTTTGACAACTGACCAATGCAGGCCTGGGAGACAGATGCCATAGAAACAGGGTGGGCCTCACCTGCTGTGTATACTTAGAAGGGCTGTAAAGGTTCTTGACAGGGACGTCACTGCCATTCTTAGTACAGTCACCATAATTGCCCCCAAGTCTGTCCAAAGCTTCCTGTGAACCCACATACAAGAGGTCAGAGCAAGTGGCCCAAGTCTCTGTCTAGACTCTTGGTCCAACCCCAGGCCCAGATTACATCTCACATGCTATTGGCCCCCCATCTGCCTCACCACCTTAATATATGCCCCAGCAGCCCCCAGTGTCCACACAGTGCTAATTTTGAGGAATCAGGACCCAGAGCATTCTAGGCACACCCTGAGCCAGCCCTCTCAGCACTTCCCACCACAGAGTCCCTCCTCAGGGCCTAGCTCCTCAATGCCAGCCCTCTTGCCCCTGAGTGCACCGGCTCAAGACCACCCCATCCAATCTCCCATGCCCCCTCCAACCTGGGCTTTCCCCCTGGTCCCCCAAGCTGCAGCCTTGCCTTCGTCATGCTGATGGAGGTCTCCACGCCAGGCCGCAAGTTAAAGCCACCATCATCCATAAAGGCAGGCTCATCCTGCCCATGCACCATCACTCGGGCCCCGGTCACCGTGGACAGCAAGGGAATGAAGTCGTTCTGCTCTGTGCGCAGCATCAGGGACAGACCTGAGGGTGCAAAGGGAACAGAGCTGGGAGGGTCCTGGAGAAGAGTCAGGATGGAAACCCACCCTCCCTGCCACCCTTTCCTGCTCTAATACTCCACAGGGAGGGAGGCCAAGAAGACCTGCAGAGGGACCTGGCAACAGGTGAGCTGGATTCGGGGGCAGGAGGAAGACCGGGGACATGCGGAGCCCATGGGAAAGAAAGAGCAGAAAAGATTCCTCCCAGGACAGAGAGAGGCACACAGTACCTCTGGGCTGAGCTAAAGGTGAGTTAATATAGGTGGGCTGAGGCGGAGGGCAGCTGCAGAAGGGACAGGATGCTGCTCACCATTGTTGATCCCAGGCATGGAAGACATCCAGAGGTTAGAGTTGTTCTTGTCATTGAAAGTGTAGCAGTTCCCGTACACAGGGTGGTGGAAGTGAGAGTAATTCCTTATCAAGAGAGAGAGGGGGTAGGGTCACAGGAAAGTGCAGGAGGTGGGGGAGCAGGGAGAGGAAGCAGTGGGAAGGCTTCTCTCTCCTGAATTCCTATGGGACAGGACTGACATGTGCCTTTCAGAGCCCCCTGTTTCCTGACCTGGAGCTTTACCCATAGTCCCTCAGTCACCCCAACAATGGCCTGGGAGAGTCTCATCCCCACACCACAGAAGAGGAAGCCAGGATGCAGAGACACCATGCAGCTGGCCAAGGTTACACAAACAGTGACAATGGACCTGGTCATCTACCTTCTAGCCTAGGCTCCTCCCAGCAGGCCATCTGACCTCACTGACCTCACTGGCCTTAAATTATGTGCCACCTTGTGATCTCTCTCATGTGGTTGTGTTACACGGTAAAGACTCTAACTACGTCTCTAACTTCTCACTTTCTTTTTTTTTTTGCAGTTTTTGGCCAGGGCTGGGTTTGAACTCGCTACCTCCAGTATATGGGGCTGGCACCCTACTTTTTTGAGCCACAGGCACCACCCTAACTTCTCACTTTCTAAATCTTGTTCCCCATCAAGACTGTGACCTCCTCCAGGACAGGAGTCATATCTCTTCTTCAGTTCTGGGCTAGGTGCATAGTTTCTGGCATACAGGGGACACAGGTATTTTCAGTTAATAGAGTTATTGAATAAGTGAGTGAATGAAACAGAGCAATGTAAGGGGAACAGGATTAGGGGAGTGAGGGAGCCCAGCAGCAAATAGGTAGCTGCAGGGGGAGGGGGAGATCAGAACCCAGAGCGAGTATGAGATCAAGTGCTTTCCAGAAGACTCTTTGTTCACGCGTCTCAGACTCACTAAGTCCAAAGCTGATCTGTGACAGGTTTGGGATTAGAAAGATAATAATGCTCACAGAGGCAATACTACTGCAGTAGGAATACGATTTGACAGCAAATCACAGGTTCCACAACAGGAACTATGTGGGGTTGTAGCAAGAATCCAGATAGTACAGAGGACACCTGTGTTCTGCTACCCTGACATCTTGGAGCTGGCAGACAGAGCAGGCAGAAGAGGGAGACGGGGCTCTAGGCTGTGACAGGCAGAAGATGAATGAAGAGAAGAGGGAGAAGAAAGCTGGCCAGAGATAAGGTGAGGGGTTCAGGTTGAATGGCCCTGAGCAATTCTTTTTCTAACCCCATTCTCCTCATTTATAAAATAAGGATAATAGAACTAGATGATCTGCAATATTCCATTGGCCTGGAAGAACAAAGACAGAGGCATGAGATACTCCACCTTCCAGGATATGCTGGGAAGTCAGCACTTCTAGAGCTCGGGTTGGATATAGTGAGGGACTAAAAACGAGGCTACTCCTAAAGGGCCTGTGAGCCCCTCACTGGGAGAGGGGAGTGGCTCATGCCTGTAATCCTAGTATTCTGGGAGGCCAAGGCAGAGAGATCCCTTGAGCTCAGGAGTTTAAGATCAGCTTGAGGAAGAGTGAGACCCTGTCTCTGCTAAAAATAGAAAAATTAGCCGGATAGCATGGTTGGCGCTTGTAATCCCAGCTACTCGGGAGCCTGAAGAAGGAGGATCATTTGAATCCAGGAATTCAAGGTTGCTACAAGCTAGGCTGACACCACAGCACTCTAACCTGGGTATCAAAGTGAGATTCTGTCTCAAAAATAAAAATAAAAGACCTCAAAGGCTTATAGGGAGAGGAAAGGGTTAAGGATATGGGGGAGAAGGTGAAAAAGCCACAGCAAGGAGCTTCAATTTGATTCTGAAAGGCTTAAGAGACACTGGAGGATTTTAAACAGGACTAACTGGAATATTAAATGCACTGAAGTGATGTAAGAATAGTGAAATACAAAGCTTCTTGTAGTTTCAGAATGAAGGGAAACTTTAGGAGCAGAAAGACAAGTTAAGGGGTGGTTATAACCACCCAGGTTATGGCCAGACACAGTGGCTCACACCTATAATCCTAGTACTTTGTGAGACCAAAGCAGGAGCTCCCTTGAGATCAAGAGTTCAAGACCAGCTTGAGCAAGAGTGAGACCTGTCTCTCAAAATAGCCAGGCATTGTGATGGGTGTCTGTAGTCCCAAATATTTGGGAGGCTGAGGCAAGAGGATCACTTGAACCTAAGAATTTGAGGTTACTGTAAGCTAAGATGCCATTGCACTCTACTAAGGGTGATTAAGTGAGGCTCTGTCTCAAAAAAAAAAAAAAAAAATCTATTCACCTCAGCCTCCCAGAGCACTAGGATTACAGGTGTGCCACTGAACCCAGCCAGGGCATGGTTTCTCAAAGCCAGACCTCCAGCCCTCGTCTTCCCAGGGTATCCATCTGGGGCTGCTTCACTTAGACCCAGCAGTGCATGGTGAGCACAGGGAAGGGGTGTGGACCTGAGGCCTGGGCTTTTCTGGCAAGCATTTATTTAGTCAACAAGTATTTCCTGGGCTGCACCCATACAGGATTTCAGGCTGACCCAGGAAAACAGCCCCATACAGAGAGCTGAGCCCAGCAGGACAACTCACGCCTGATTGCAGGACACCTGGTTGAAGCGGCAGGAGAAGATGAAGTTGCCCAGCAGGTCCTCCTCCAGAGAAGGCAGGGTGTCTGGCAGTCTTGACAAAATGTTGATGTAGTGGAAGCGGTACCACTCCCTCACTGCATCCACTCCTGATGAGTAGGTCTGGTAGAAGCAGTCCGATTTGTTCTGGTTGCACTGGACACAGACAAGAACATCAGAGGGGGGCTAGCAGCAGCAGGTAGGCAGCTGGACGGTACCAGGGTTGAAGAATGAATGGTCTGGGGTTCTGAGGATTGATGGGGATCAGGAGCCAGGAGTGGGTTAGGAGAGAAGTCCCCAGGAGCATGCACCAGGAAAGCATGGGATTAAGGGTGTGGTGGGTCAGGGGGCTCTTTTATAGAGCCCCAGGTTCACAGATAGAAAGATTGAGGGACCAAAACGTTTGTCCAAGAAACAGAGCTGGAACTGCAGCTTCACTCTCACTATTCCAGGACCTTCCTCCCATTTCCTCTTACTCTCCTATTTATTTATTTATTTTTTGAGACAGAGCCTCAAGCTATTCTCTTGGGTAGAGTGCCATAGCATTACAGCTTACAGCAATCTCCAACTCCTGGGCTCAAGCAAGTCTCCTGCCTC